TCTTCATCAAGAACTTTTCTCAAGCTGCAGCTCTGCTTACACATTTGACTTGTAAAGACAAACTTGAGTGGAATAAAGAAGTAAAAGCATCATTTAATACTTTAAAGAAGGAGTTTACTTCTACACCAATCTTGTATTGTGTCAAATTTTTTAAAGTATTTTTTTATAGAAACATATATGTCAAACTTTACAATAGGTGCTATATTGTCATAAATGGGAATAGATGACAAACTCAAATCAGTAGCTTTCTATTTCCATAAATTTTCAGCAGTCGAGATTAATTATGAGATCTATGACAAAGAACTCTTTGCAATCATGGATTCATTTCAAGAATAGCATCATTATCTAGAAGGCACTTCAAATTCAGTCATCGTATATGTAGATTATAAGAACCTCAAGTACTTCATGTTAGTACATGTTTTGAATCATCGTCAAGTGTATTAGAGCATGTTTTTATCCGGATTCAATTTCAAGATTATATGTCAACCTGAAAAACAACAAGGTCTATCAAACATCCTTTCTAAATGTTCTTATTTTGCACTAAAAGAAGGAGATGCATCTTTTTATCAACAAAGAATGATTCTCTTGAAGCCCAAGCATTTTTATCTTTGAATAATAAAATCAACATTGACTGTTGATTCAACCTTTGTCAAGCAAATTCAACCAAGTATGACCTCTGATCCTCTTGTTCATGATATTAAGAATATTTCTTCTAAGCCCTATGACACTTCAAATTTTGAATTCAAGAATAACGTACTATATTTTGAAAATTGCCTATATATTCTAGGAAGCGAGGCAAGATTACGTGTCCTTCAAGTTTGTCATGATTTTTCAGCAATCAGACATTTTGGATACAATAAGACTTTGGAGCTAATATCAAGAGATTTTTGGTGGCTTTAAATGCAGAAGGTTTTCAAAGACTTTGTATAATCATGTGATACTTGTTCAAGACCCAAAATTCCTTGCCATCTCCTTTATAGACTTCTTCAACCATTACCAATTCCAAAACAACCATGGTCTTCTGTTTTGATGGATTTTATCACGAATCTTCTAGTCTTAGGTTCATATAATTCTATATTTATAATCATAGATCACTTCACTAAAATGGCACATTTTATACCATGTATAAAATCTATTTCAAGCAAAGAAATAAGTAAGCTTTTCATTGAGAATACCTATTGCTATCATGGATTGTCAAAGGATATTATATTGGATAGAGGGATTCAATTTGCATCAAGATTTTGAAAAACCCTATTTAAGATTCTAAAGGTGGATATAAAGCTCTCTTTAACTTTTCATCTTCAAACTGATGGATAAACGGAACAGGTGAATCAAGTTCTAAAGCAATATTTGAGGTGTACTATCAACTATCAACAAGATAATTGGACAATTCTTTTACCATTAGCAAAGTTTTTATACAATAATTTGATACATTCTTCTATTCAACAAACACCTTTCTTTGCTAATTATGGTTATCATCTATGTCTTGATATTTTTGACTTTTTAAAAGTTGATAATCTTGTGGCGGAAGATTTAGCAAATTGTTTGTTAGAGCTACATGCAACAATGAAGACACAATTAAAAGAAGCTCAAGAATGATAAAAGACCAACGCAGATGCTTATTCCAACGAGCAATTACAATTTAACATAGGTGACAAGGTATGATTACTTTATCGCAATATCAAGACTACTTTTCATTGTGATAAGTGGACTATCATAGGCTAGGACCTTTTTTTATTTGTAAACAAATCAATCCTGTTGCTTATCAATTATATCTATTAGAATCTATGAAGATTTGCCTTGTATTTCATGTGTCCCTTCTTTAGTCGTATAAGATAGTGAATATTTTGGAAAGAAGATAAATGCCACCTCTTCCTATAGAAGTGGATAATAATCAAGAGTTTGAGGTAGAAAAAGTCCTAGACTCAAGGCGATGCTAAAATAGGTTAAAATATCTTGTTCATTGGCATGGATATGATATTAATGAACGAACATAGGAGCCATCAAAGAATCTCGCAAATGCAGTAAAGAGAATTGAAGCCTTTCATCAACAACATCCATCTAAATCAAGATGAAGAATAGCAATTCTTTGCTATAAAAGAAACAAGATTAAAAGAAGATAACATTCTATTTTTTATCTTTTTTTATAGCTTCTATGTATTTGTGATACTAAGGAGATGGAGAACCAACAATGAATAGATTCAACTCAAGAGCTTTTATTTGCGGACTTATTAGATGAAACATTGTGATTTTTACAATCTTCAAGATGATGAAATCGAGATAAAGACCCTCAAGAACGACATATCATTCCTTGAATTGATAGCAAGATACAATATGTTTGGTATCATGACCTTAGAAGAGACTCTTGATGTTTGGTAATTTTATTAGATGTAGGAACAACTTTTGACAACATTCCAAATGTTTTATTTGAAAGAAGTTACAAAGACCTCAACAATGATCAAATAATAGGATGGTCTTTTCGCCCTAGTATAAGACACTATTGATGGCATAGAGGGCCTATCAACTATCTTCGAAGAGAGCAAAGATAAGAGTATGTGGCAAATACAATTCACTGCATCTTGGATTTCTTCAACATATGAAAACCACTCCTCATGAAACTTGTTCCTAGAAGAAAGGATAATGTCACGGATATATACATTTACCTCAATAGTTACTTATATGATTAGATAGAAGTAGATAAACATAGATTAATTGTACAAAATCTTCTAGAAAAGCTTCTTAGAAGCTTTATAAATGTGATTTTGATTTTAGATGTATTTGTAGGATAGAAACTTGGCCAATAAGTTAATCACATGTTAGTAGCTTGTCAAATAAGTTAACTTCATATAATAGCTTGTAATATGAGCTAACTATGTGGTGCATACATAGAAAACTTGCCTCGCAAGTTAAGACATGTGGCTAGCAAAGTCAACATATTTTGGAGGTCCACATAGCTCTTAATTAGAGAGTATATAGGGAGGCAAGAATGAAGCCTTCTTTACTCTTGTCAATGCCTTTACTTCTAGTCAATCTTATTTCAAGACTTTCTAATCTTGTTGTTTTTAGTAATAGACATTCCAATTCCATATTATTCATGTTTGAGTGACTTTCTAGTTCCTTTCAATGACACAGGAGTGTGTTGAGGATTTTCTTTCTTTAAGATTCATGTCTTTGATACCAAGTTTCTAATCTATCAATCAACTACAAACACATGTAAAGTGAAAGCAACGTCTATGAAACTTTTAAAAAGCTTCTCTATAAGATATTATGAAATTAATCTACTTATATATATTTCTACCTATTCATATTATTTAGATAATAATTACAATAAATATATGTCTGTAACACATATATATAAAATACTTATTCATAATTTTAATAATTATTTATATGTAAGATTTTAGATATAATTGGTAGAGTAAAATATATTTTAAATAATCTTTTCTTTTTTGAAATATGCTTCAATAAAAATAAAAGCATAATTAATTATAAAAATTGATGTTATATATATATATATATATATTAAATAGATCCATGTTTTTACTAAATCAAATCACCTATGATAAAAAATATGATAATGATGATTAATGTTATTGATTTTTATTGGATGTGGATCTTGTAGTAGATAAATGAATCTAAGGGCCATTTTTTCTTTTTTCTTTTATGATGGTTAGAATATAAACTATCTCTCTCTTTTTCTTTTTTTTTTTCTCTCTCATTATATATATATATATATATATATATATATATTCATCTAAAGAATATCAAATAATAATATTTTATTTTAATTATAAATTTTTAATTTTTTTATATACTAGATATAAATTATGTCATTAATTTTATTGTATGTATGTATGTATATTTCACTCTTTTGATATATATATATATATATATATATATATATTTATATATTTATATATATATAACTTAAGATATCATAATATAATATGATATTAAAAAATCACTAAAAAGGTGGTAAATTGAATGTCTTGTTTATTTATTAAATATACACCATATTCATTTTGACATATAATAAGAATGATTTTTTAAATGAATATACTAAAATGAATCTAAAAATACTATTTATTATGTAATGTTTTAAAATATACTTGTATCTTGCCAATTCTTCTTATTTATTATTTTTTTTAATATTGTGATTGATTTTGAGATATTAATAAATCAAGGTGTTAATTATTTTTGGATAAAATTATTTCAAAATACACACATAGAAACTATTGCAATAAAGTAGAAAAATATTTGAGTTTATAAGTTTTGTATAGTTTATAAGATTTACACTATATTTGGTGTGATTAATGTATATTTAGTGTTTTGACTTTGATACTCATGATTTTAAAAAATATATGCTATTATATTTGTCAATGATAATTTCTTAAGTAAACTTTCAATCCATTAACTTAAAGCTAATAATCATTTCTTCTTTATATTTTATTATCAAAAATAATAAAATAATAATAACACACATGCAAAAATCAATGAAAATTCTCATATGTTATAAAATAACTCATATGTTTTTAGAAACAATTCAAGAATAATATATGGTAAGTTCTTGTATTATTTCAATACCACAATGTAATATACAGAAAAAATTTACTACAATTATTTACATAAATATATATAGGGGAATGTTAAATAGAACCATACTTTTACTAAATAGACCTAACCTTGATGAAGAATATGGTAATTATGATGAATGTGGTTGATTTTTATTGATTGTAGATCCAATAGTGGTGAAATGAATCTAGAGGTCATTTTTTTTGTTCATGATGGGTGGATCAATTTAGTAATAGGTTGGTTCTATTTAACAGTCCCCTATTTATTTATGCATATAACCCTGATTTGTATGAAAAATTTATCCAAAACCTCAATATTCCAAAAATCGTGTGAAGCATCGATTCATAATAGTTGAAAGCTACATCACATCACAAACAAGTTAACATTTCGGATGTATCAATCATACTCAGCTTATTTTCAATTCCCGGGAAAGTACATTCCTATGCTCCATATTATCTATTGCCTACAATTTTGAATGTAAATCCAATTCTCTGAAATTGAAACCCTAAGTCTCTGCACCGACACCGACACTGCAGCCGTCAATGGAAGCATATCTGGTGTAGAAATTGCATCAGAGAAACAGAGAATATTCGATAGGCGGGAGGGGATCTGAACTCTTTTAACGAGCAACAGACGCTTCAGTGAGGTTTTGCTTTGCTTCGCTTAAGTTTGGTAAGAGATGCAGCATCGGTGCCACTAGATGTAGTGTGTCAGTGTGCGGAGTCTCCGTGCAAATCCTCAAATCCAATGCCGACACAAGCCGCGACCTCATCGCCGAGATCTGTCGATGCGCCAAAGTGCGTGTGACGGCGCGCGTGACGCTAAAATTCAGTCTTCGACGTCTTACGAGTGCTTGCAGATTCACACTTTCGGTGTGGGATCTGAAAGACGAGGCGGATTGTCATCCGGTTTGTGGGTCGCATTCCGTTGTTTCTGATTGCAACGTGGAGAACTAGTCGTCGAGATTGCGTCCAACTTGGTGAGTGGTCGGTCGAAGAGAACATGCCGACGGAGTTGGCTAGTGATGACGTAGACTGCTCGATGGTAGTAGTAGCGTTGCGTGTGTTTCGGTTTGTTGGTAGATTTGTGCAGTTTTTCTGTTGCAATTTGTGGTCCAAGGAGGGTTCTTTGCGGGGTCGCCACCTGGATGTTGACGTGGTCGGACATGCAAAGCTTGCTGGTTAGGTGATTTTGAGAAGTGCTGAACCGTATCTTTTCGGCGACGTGCAGTGTTCATGTGATCTTACAATCATTCAGAACATGAGGCTATTGGAGAGATGTTCATTGATGAGTCCGTGCTTGGCGCCTCGTGGATTGGCCGGTTCCTTGACGATACTCGTGTGCATCGGTCTAGTTATCGATAGAGTGAATTTTGAAGCTTTCAGCAGTTCTCAGAAGGGCGTAGAGTGGCTCTCTGGCGCAGAAGCATCCGATCCAATAAGTTTCTTCAGTGCAAAGCCTTCCCCTGAACTTGCCAGACCTAAGGATTTAACAAGCCATGCACCGGAAAACAGAGGTTCAGACTTAAATTCCTCTTCCGAATTTGCCGATATCGAAGCTCCGCTGCACATTGCTACAGAGCCAGCCGCAGCGATAGTTCGAACTGCACCTCGTGCGCCAGAAGTCGCCGATGGGAGTTCGTTTGACGGGGATGAACATGCTAATGCAGAGAAAAATTCGTCAACCACCATTGAAGATGGGGCTGATGCAGGGGATTCGATTGACTGGGATACGGGATGGGGGGAAATAGATCTGGATCAGATTGCGAGTTCGCCTATTGAGGAAGAATCTGGTAAGGATAATGTGGGCCAAGAGGAGTTTCAGCTTGTCCCAACTGCTTCGACCAAGTGGGTTTACGATGTCTGCTTGTTGGTTTCCACTGGACGGAAGCCCAATATCGACCGACCAGCCCTGCCTTACGGTGAGCTTTACAGACTCTTCAACGCCGCCAAGGGTGCGCCGAATGGGACGGAGCCTTGGAGCAGCCTCAGCGAACGAAAATTGTATGTAGGGGGCGACTTCTCAACAATCCTTTGTCTCATGGTGAGCGACGAACTTGGTCCGTCGGTCGAGTGCTCCAACTACAACAAGTTCGGCGTAAAGACGAATCATGTAAGTTTAGCCTCAGGGGCTCTTGTCTTTTGTCCATGTGCACGTAAATCAATGGCGGTGACCTTTTGGTAACTAGGTGTCTTATTTTTCTTGGCTTTAATGCAATCTGCAGTGCAAGCATTTGGTGGTTGGAGAGACGAAGAGATACAGCCCACAACCATCATGGGATGACTTCCGTAGATATGGTTTTCTCTGGAACACCGTGGAGATTGTGAACCTAGACGTGGAGGATCCCGCAAGAAACCCTCCGATTTTGCCAGAGTCACAATGGCGGCCGACCATTGTGACGGCTTTCAGCAGCAATAAAGCGGAAGTTGGTCTCCTTATGCTCCGATCGTTAGGCAAAGTGGCGGCCGAGCAAACGGAATTCAATGTCTCTGTGGTTGTGTATACGCTGAACAGGTTTCCAGCCATCGCCCGACGTGTTTTACTCTGTGTGATTAATGAGCTTCAGACTGTGTACAAGGTCCCAGCGGAGATACGGCAATTCGATTTTGACGCCTGGCCGTCCTGGATGCACCTCAATCAGACACTTAGCCCCAACGCCGGAAGTGGTAACAATCCTAAATATCTCGATGATCTAATTTTCCGAATTATTATTCATTACCTGAGCTTTATTAATCGTTCGCAGTTGATAGACCTGATTATTGTTCTAATGCAGGAGAATACGCGTGGAAAGCCATAATAATGCACACGGTGCTTCTCGAAAGGGGCTTTGTGTACTGGGCCAATGCTGGGGATCGCTTCCGAAGCGCCAATGGTTTAACATCAACCCTGCGTCACTTGGAGAGGAAAGGATTTACATCCCGGATGTCCGGCGGACGTGTTAAGGATACCACTCACGTGAGGCAGCTGGAATATTTTGGAGCAAACAGACGCCCCATCACCGTGATGCCAAACTGCGACACCTCTGGCATTGGCTTCACTCTCGACAGGTTCCTAACTGTGCACTTTTTACTCTCATCTCTCCGATGAGTCTGAGTTTATCCTTGTGCTGGAAAGAGGTTGAATCCATCTGATGATGAACCGGCTCGGTTTTTGGATCCCACCCAGGTACAAGCAACTGGCACGTCCATGGTACGAGTGCTGCATTACGCGGCAATGCATAGCTCCGGAGGGATCCAACCCAATGAACCACCGACAAGACCAGTCGGCTCTCACCGTGCTGGCCGCGTTCTCCAGAGATAGTTGCGAAGGGGTGGCTTTCGATGTCGTCAAGCAAATTGACCACTCTCCGAAACATTACTTGATTGGTGTGAATGCAACTCAGTGTTACAAGGACCCTCTCCACTTGAGATGGCGTTAGTTGAATCATCGTACGCTCGATCACATCAGTTGGCATTCCTTTTTACTGACAGTGGCCAAGGCCTTCCACACGGGTCATCCCTCAAGTGTCTGCGATGTCCTCTCACATCTTTTTTCCAGATCGAGACCATCAGCCCTGTCTTTTCGGAGTTAGCATCATACGGCTACTGCCACCCAACAGCTATGCGTTGAGGACCGATGCACCTGCCAGATTCAGACTCTGCCCAAAGCTTGAGTAAGTTAGAAAGAGCCTGCACCAAATAAACGGTATGGAGCAGCGATGGTCTGTTGCATTGAAGTGGCAGATTTGAGCCACTGAACTATCATAACAACGAACCAAATTAGAGCAGCTGCTTAGGATAACAACGGCCGGCGCGGCGCTAGAGACACTCTCACAGTGTTCACGATGACAGCCTGATTGGCTATCACCAGCACATCACAGTCGACATCCTTTTCGCTCCCCAGTAGACCTTATTGGAAGCATATCAATCCTGGTGAATCTATATCGCTGTGTGCGATGAGGAGTAGATCGTCCGAGACTCGACGACATCACAGGAAACGTAACGATGTATCCGATATGCTGAGGCATGAGAAACTCAGTTTCTCACCACAATGCCGCAGTGCCATCTCTTGTCACTGACATTAGTCCTCCCCTTGCATCTCCGTGTCATGGGTGCCTTGCTGTGCAACATTTTCTTCGAGATTGGAGACAATGCTTGCAAGGACTTGCCATATGCAGCCAATTTTGTTATAGTCTTTTTTGGAGTCTATCAAACGGGGCTTTTTGTTTATACTATCTTCTTCAATCTCTTCGCTTTTTTTTTTTTTTTTTTTTTTTTTTAATACTATGCTTTTACGGGGTCTACAGAACCAAACAATAGATGCAAAGAGGCTGAAGTTGTGTGACTTCGCGCAAAATGTGAGGAGCTCTAAAATGGTAACCTGAGGTTTTACTGCGCATCTTTCATGGAAAAAGATATGGACAGTTTTGTCGAATTGTGATAAAAATGTTTTGATTTTCTGCATGCAATAGTGCCTTGACGCCTTCAAGATCTCTGAAAATTTCATGGGGAAATGAACCGAAGACAAATTGACAAAGAAACGTGATTACTGTTGATTCAACTCATGTTGTTGCATGTAAAAAGAAAGTTGAACATGAAAGAAATGATGCAATGCCCATTTTCATGCATGAGCATCAATAACATGTATTTGCTCATTCTTAAAAATAATATGTAAAAACAATGTATGTTGAAATTCTGAAAGCACGGAAACAAATGTTCCTATCTGTGCAAAAGAAACATTAGCAGTATGTACTTCTTTGAGTATGTTAACTTTCTAAAGCATGGTATACCCTTAACTTTCTTTTGAATTGTTTTGGTTTCTATTGACCATAAACTAACTAACTAAATAACCATATATTTAAATATACGTAATATATTTTTTTGTTTTAAGGGTTATGTATCTCATTGCAATAAAAAACGATATTGAGGAATAACATAATATTTGAAAAAAAAAAAAAAAAAACCATTAATATTAGAACAACACATCTGCAAATGTAAATGAAAAACCAAATTTCACTCACTAGATGGTTCATAAACAAATTATTTTAAATAACCTCTGTAAGATATAAATAAATAAATAAATAATAAAAATAAAGAATCTGATGTCGTGTTATTTGCTTAACTTTGCACTGCATTTTCTTACATCATTTAGATTTAATTTGGGTTCAATTTAGTTTGATCTTATTTGAAATTATATTATGTTTTTGCATAGAGTTTTCTTTTTTCTTTTTTCTCTAGTTATTTTTTTAAATAAGTTTTTGGAAGAATGACAAATTTATGTAAATTGGTCAAACGTATCAATTTATTGATTTTTCAAAAAACATGAACTTTATATTGTAAAGGGTCAATGTGTGTCTTTGAAACATCAAGTCAATTTGTAACAAATTTTTTAACGAGTATCAAAGTCATCCACATATACTTAAAAGCTGTTCATAATATACATACAAATAACTCAAAACAGAATAAAACAAAATGTGGTATTTTAATTTGAAATTCAACACTTAAAAAAAGTTGAGTTCAAGGATACATATAGTTTTAAAGGCAACAGGAAATCATTGACCACTTTTTTCCGCAGCTGTGACAAATCATTCAAAAGAAGAAATTAGTGTCTCATGCTATGCCAAATAATCAAGACAAAAAAACCAGCTTACAATAAGTTACAATGTTGTGTATATTCCTATGCAAAGTCACAATCTCAACACAAGCAAAGGTAAAGGATATCAAACCCTACTAATAACATAAGCATACATGATCCAAAAGACAAATAAAGATGAAGACCAAACACGTCAATATAATCTACTACAACGAAGTCAGTCAATAAGACTGCAAAATATGTGAACAATCCACCACAATCTCAGCCTCCAAAGTTGCTAAATACTGCTTCTGCAAACACACCATTCTTGTGAGGATCCCAGCTGTGTAATCAGCTCTCGATAAGGAGGGGGGGGGGGGGTACTGAATTCCATGCAGTGTTGGAATTCTGCAATGCACTCTCTTTGTTGCAGGAATGAGGACTTTTGTGGCTTCGACTTGTCGTGGCGGACAACAGTTGCCTTGACCTCATCCTCTTTTGTGTCAACAGTGTAATCGTGGATTGGAATGGGACGATCACAGTTCCTTGTGTACTTTCATCATACCATGTCACGAGAACTGAATTGCTTTGGACCACCCACTGTGCTTGTGCCATCGTCACAAGGATTTGATTTGATTTATTTATTTATTTTGCGACCTGCATTTTTCTTTGTCGGAAGCTTTGGTAGAGTTCGCAGCACTGTTTGATTTTGACAGAGAGCGGCATTAGCTTGCGAACTCTTAAAGCAATGTCGACCTGTGGGTTCATATCTTTTTTAGTCAAGGCTTGCAGGTGCACTTTGCAGCTTCTTTTGACGGGAGAACGATCGGTATGAACTTTACAAACACATCCAATCTAGAGGTGCGTTGGAAGTAGAAAGCTGGGAGGGGGGGAGAAGAAGTTCCCCCACATGGACCGATTGTGATCGATCACAAAGGTTTTCATTGAATCATCTCCAAGAAGCTGGTGATACTCCTCTAACAGAGAGATTAAAGATTCTATATATATATATATATATATATTTGTAAATAAATGAACAAAAGCAACAGCACCGATTAGTAGCGAGGGAGGTTTCCAACCCATGCTTCCCACCTCCAGGTCCATCTTACCGAGTACTTCGCCGCCGCCACCACCACCATATACCTCGATCCATTCCTCCGTTTGCTTCCACAGGCTGAAGCTACCTTCGTAGGCATACCCGCTACGGCAGATCGAGACGAGGATGACAAACTGCATCACCGTCTCAAACAGGAATAGCAGATAGACACTTAAGCAAACAAAGTAGGGTAGCTTGCGGTAACCAGAGGGGGAACGAACTTGGCAATCTTTCCCGCAGTGCAGTCAACAAAGAGTAAAACGTCCAGCAAAAATCTCCCCAACACAGGAATATTCTACCGATGCTTTGGGAGTGACACGGGGGAAAACACAAAAATCCCTCGTATCTGCATGGATTCGACCAAAAGTGGCTGCGTCCAGAGTGCCCTCACACAACCCAACTGTGGCAACAAGCAAGCAAACAAACCGGGATCCATCGCTGATAATAGAAGGCCGTGGTGTCAAGGGTACACCCCGAAGCCCGCCAGCCAGCCGGACGTCACCGAATTTATATCATTCGCTTCTTCCACATCAAACAGTCAACGACGAAGGCTTTGGTTGACTGGGAGGGGCGTGAGGGTCTGATGGTGTCCAGTGGCTTCCACCAGCGAAATAAAGAAAAACACCCTCCCTTCATCGGAACGTGTCGATACCAAAACAGCACCGGATCAGTCACGTTATCTGTGAGGGAGGGATCAGAAGGGAGCGAGCGAGGGAGGGAGCGGGGTCCATCACATTCCGGATTCTATCCATCTATTTATCTGTCTATTTGTCTATTCTTTTCTATTTAGCGTGTGTATGGGTTTTGGTTCACTGCTCAGTGTTGTTTGGGTGGTTCAGACTTCAGACCCCTTGTTTGTTTGTTTGCCTTTCTTTCTTACTTTCTTTCTATGTAGACTTTGACTCTCTCAGAGCTCTTCCTCTTCTTCCTCCATTTTTCTGAGCATTCCATTCTTTCTAGATTGTGTATGTGTAGGATCATGTGTTTTGTGAAGGAAAGAACGCGTTCTCACACGCACCCATACACACACACTGACAGACACACACACACACAGAGAATTTGTTTGGGCACAGTGTGTTTCGTGCTGTTCCATTTGTTTATTGGGTTGCTGTGTTGGGAGGGTGTATAACTATATATATATATATATATATATATATTGAATGAACTGATGCCATGGCTTTGAGAAATGCATCAACGTTGGTCTTTTTTTTATTATTTATTTATTTATTTATTTATTTATTTTTGTGTCTGATGTGCCACTATTTTGGTTCTTACCATGGTTGAATGTATGCTTCATGTATTTCTTTTCTGAGAAGCTGTTGTTGTATTTGTTGATGTTAATGTTGTTGTTACATGTATTTCTTTTTCTTTTTATTAATTAATTAATTAATCTATGTATTTATTTACATGATATCGTATGTCCTTTTGGGTTGAAATTTCTTTTTGGAGAAAAAGGAAAACCTGGTGAGATGACTCATAGAATCCTGTCAGGAATTAGTCGTTGTGAGCATCTGACTTTCGGTTTATTTATCTACTTTATTTGGGCAGTTGTTGACTTTTTTCTCTTTATTCATTAGATCAGATGGAAAAAAGCTAAGTGATTCATTTTCGCTTTTGGTACAGTCTTAATTTAGGCATCAAAATTGAATTTATGTTCATGTTTTATTGGATGTTTGTAAGTATTTTTAGTTGTAATAGAATTTTTGTATAATGTTTATAGAAAATTAGGCAATTAGGTTTGTAGGTGGTACCATAGATGTAATTTGATTTTTTAACTGTGAACAAGTAATGTTATGTAAAGATAATTAAAAGGTGATAGCTACAAATGTTTGCATTAGAAGATACTGTATTAACTATAAGATCATGTACATAAAGGATTTTAAGTCATAAGTTTAAAACAGACTCAAGTAATAAGTTAATAAGAGTAAGAATGATTTAGTTTTGTCTTTGTATGTACTCTTTGGAAGGTTAGAAGTTTTTGGTCTAAGTTTCTAATTCAAGTTTCTAGAGAAGTCTTCATTTTAAAAGCTTCCTTAAAAGACTTGCTAACAAAAAATATTAGAGATATTTTATTTTATTTATATTTTCAATTCAAAAAAATTAAAGCCTATATATATATATATATATATATATATCTATTTTAAAAACTATATTTGAATAGATTCTAATATAACTTTCCACTATGATCTTTTGTTTATATTTCAAAATTTCAAACAATTTTGTTGAAAGAAAATGGAATTTTTTTTTCTAATACTATATATATTTTGAAGTCCTATTTTTGTAAATATCTAAAATTCTAAAAGCAACTGTAATGAACATTTATTCAAGCTATGAAACAACTATCAATTATATATAATTTTAAATCAATTTCATTATAAAATATAGAATTGATTGGTTTATTTATTTTTGAATATTTTTTTAAAAAATAATTTTTTCTATAATGGAATTATTTCCAATCATAAAATTTAAATTTTTTAATTATATGCTTATTTTCTATAATATCTTTAGTTAAACTCTTATAAGTTGAACTTAAAAATATTTTTTAAAATATCAATATGTAGATATAATTTGCAAGTGATTCTCAAATGTTGAAATTGATTTGAATAATTTTCTTTTATAGTCCACATACCACCTCTTACTATGAAAATATCTAATAATTTAATAATTATTCTTAAAAAATTAAAAATTTAACACTATTATTTTTTTATAGAACATATAGCAAGTAGAAAAACAATATTCCAAATTTTGAGTCTTAGTGCCTTCTAAAACCTCTATACTCTACCAAAATCGTCAAAA